CTTTAATTTGTAATATTAGCTTCAAAATGACTTTTGGTGTTATTATGATTTGTATTACTAACTTCAGGAATATCTAAATTGAAGAAAGAAATGTGGTCAATAAATGTAAATAATTACTATTTAATGATGTGAGGATATTCCATATTGAAATTTGTTTTTAATTAATTTGCTTAGGTTAGTAGACTTTACAATAATTCAGTGTTTTTATCTTTTTGAGACTCCATTTGTGAGATAAATTCTTTACAGAGAGTTGAATGATCTTCGAGGTTATTTGGTTATTCGTTGTTAAGAATCTACTTAAACTAAAGAATGTTTGAAATTTCTTAATATCTTTTGATGATTTGCTGTGTATCAATAGGATATTTCAAGGCTTCGTTGATCATCTTTTTTTAGATGACATCTATTTTATTTAAAATCTCTTCTTTGAATTGATGAAAGAAGTCTGTAATTTGCTTGACATAGTCAAGCGAAGATTAATTTGATGTAAGATCGATGAGATCTGAGATGATTTGATAGTTGTTGACTGGTGGCCATTTTGGGATGATATTAGTATCAGCTTCTTAATAAATCTGTTCAATCATAAGGTAGTTGATAGATTTAAAGTGAAGATCGTGATTAAAACAGGAAGAGCAGTAAAAGAGAGGTTTAGTGGAAATAGGTTGTGTGAGGACATCGTTTACTTAAATAAATTGGAGGTTTTTATTTGGATGCTTATTGCATTTTAGATTTTAGATGGTAATTTTATCCATTAATAAAATTAGAGTTAGAAGTGATATTTTTAATGTATTTTTGATTCTTTTTTAGATAGTTAATTTGATTTTCTTTGAATTTAATAAGTTAAAAAAAAAAGAAAGATACTTATTTATTTGAGTGCCTTATAAATAAATGTTAAATATTCTAATAGATAATAAATGATACTATATATTTTGAGAATTTTATTTAATGTTATTAGTTTAAAATTAATTCATTATTATTTAATATTCATAAATAATTTTTTTAATTTTTAAAAATTCAAAAAAAATTCTATCAAATATCATACTATTATTAATATATATAAAATTTAATTCAATTTATAAACTCATTCACTATTTTTACATCCATTAAAATTAATTTGCTTCCTTAAAAATAAGTACCAAGATATAATCTTAGATCATCAAATTATGTAAGCTTCTCTTTATATTTATCCTATAATCCCAGCTTATACTCATAATTAGGAAAATCTAACACTTCTAAAATATATTCTTTCAAACACAATCTTATTTCTATCATATTCTCTCCACTTGTCTTAAATTCTGCTCCCTTTAATTATTTATCAATACCGAAACTTCCACATTTAATTACAGATTGATTATTTTTCTATAATAAACAACTTAAATACTCCTTATATCCATAATTTTAATCAGCATTTGAATTTCTCATTAGACCTATATAAAAAAAGTGACTTTCATTTAGATTTTCAACTTTTATCCTAAAAATATACTTCTTATCTTTTTCTAAATTTGTATTTGATATACAATTCACCCAACAAATAATATTATTTAATTTTTCAATTTCATAATAACCATTTTCTCTTTTATTTATCACACAATTTCTCTACCCATTATTATAATTAGTTGCAAACAATTCTAGATCTAAATTGGGTAAACTTTCCTCATACAAAGCGTTCCATTTGTTATCTTTCAAATTTCTGAAAAAATCAAATTTATTTTTGTCAGTAAAACTATTAGTGAAATTAATCTATTTTAAGAAAGGTTTTACATCAACTAAGAACTTTTCAAACTATTATATGAATTCTTACCTCAAGAAACTCATTTTAGAATTTACAATTTAAGTCATTTATTTGATTTCTTGACTATCCTTTACTTCCTATTCAAATTATTATTCCCCTCTTGACAAAGTTATTGAATGCTTAACATATTCTTCTATCAAATTTATTTTTTCATCGCTAATCTTGGAAAAATCAATTTATTCTTTATTTTCCTTGAAAACTACTGTCTTGAAACTAAATTATTTAAGTATAGGGTTTATGCTTTAAAGACTCTCACTTAGCTTGTTTATGAATTAATCAGAGCAAAAGTTTGATTTATTAGAAACAAGCTTCATGATTAAGTCAGATGTTAGTTTTAAATCTACAATTTAATTTCTTTAATTTGTAATATTAGCTTCAAAATGACTTTTAGTGTTATTATGATTTGTACTACTAACTTCAGGAATATCTAAATTGAAGAAAGAAATGTGGTCAATAAGAGTAAATAATTACTATTTAATGATGTGAGGATATTCCATATTAAAATTTGTTTTTAATTAATTTGCTTAGGTAAGTAGACTTTACAACAATTCAGTGTTTTTATCTTTTTGAGACTCCATTTGTGAGATAAATTCTTTACAGAGAGTTGAATGATCTTCGAGGTTATTTGGTTATTCGTTATTAAGAATCTACTTAAACTAAAGAATGTTTGAAATTTCTTAATATCTTTTGATGATTTGCTGTGTATCAATAGGATATTTCAAGGCTTCGTTGATCATCTTTTTTTAGATAACATCTATTTTATTTAAAAACTCTTCTATGAATTGATGAAAAAAGTCTGTAATTTGCTTGACATAGTCAAGTGAAGATTAATTTGATGTAAGATCGACGAGATCTGAGATAATTTAATAATTGTTGACTGGTGGCCATTTTGGGATGATGTTAGTGTCTGATTCTTAAAAAATCTGATCGATCATAAGATAGTTGATAGATTTAAAGTGAAGATCGTGATTAAAACAGGAAGAGCAGTAAAAGAGAGGTTTAGTGGAAATAGGTTGTGTGAGGACATCGTTTACTTAAATAAATTGGAGGTTTTTATTTGGATGCTTATTGCATTTTAGATGTTAGATGGTAATTTTATCCATTTATAAGATTTGAGTTGGAAGAGAGATTTTTAATGTATTTTGATTATTTTTTAGATAGTTAATTTGATTTTCTTTGAATTTAATAAGTTAAAAAGAAAGAAAGATACTTATTTATTTGATTACCTTATAAAAAAATGTTAAATATTCTAATAGAAAATAAATAAATTAGGACAATACATTTTGAGAATTTTGGTTATATCTTATAATATTGTTATTTTTTAAATTAATTCATTTAAATATAATATTCATAAGAAAAATAATTTGCTTTCAAATTATAAATTTTTTGAGGAAATAAAGAAAAGTTTTTAAATATTAAATAAAAAATTTATATATCAAAAAATGTACGCAACTGACAAAATATGTTTATTTTATAGAATAAAGCATAGGTTTTTTAACTTAATTGAATAAAATTAATTATTAAATTTTGTTTATTGTAAATCGAAATATCATTTTACTCTAAATAAAAAAATTTAAATAATTTATATCTAATTAAATAAATAGTAAATTGATAATTACAACCTATTGCAAAAAAAAACAAATGTTATTATAAAAAAAATACTTTACAAATATCGAAGATGTAATTGCTAATTTTTTCAAAAACTATTCCATAAATAAATTTTATCATTAAAAAAGTTTTTAAGCTCTTCGTTTTAATCTTGCTTTGAGCTCCAAATTAATCTAAAGTAAATTAAATTTACTTTCAATAAACATATAATTAATAGTTTTATTATAGAGTTAATTTAATTAATTATTTCTTTAAGTAAAAAAATCATTTTCAGACCTTATTTAAAAGAAAAGCTAAAGTTTCATAATTTTATTCGCTATTATTATCATTATCAATATAAATTGGTTTTTTCATATGTTTTCTTATTTTTTTCCCCTTTATATGGTTATTTCTCTTCAATATTTTAAAAGTTATAATTAAATTGAGGCATCATAGAGCGTGTTAGATTTAGGATCAGCGTTAAAAAATTACACTAATCTCTTAGTTTTAACAATAAATCTACGGTAAAAGCAGTTTATTTGTTTTCTATTATGATATTTTAGCATAAATATTTATTTTTTAGCTTAATTTTTTATTTAATTATTTAAATTTATACCTTGATTTCATTCATTATTTTCTTAAATAATATTATTTTTTATCATTTAACTCTCAATTTGATTGTTAATTACTAAATTTCTTCATATTTTTTCTTTTGTCTTAATTATATTATCTTAAATACTTAAAAAGTAGCAGCAAAATTGGTGCACATGGGGCATCAAACTTAGTTTCTGCTTTAGGAAACTGCTTTAATTTATTAACCTTGACACTTGATCTTGGGTATAAACAGTTTTTTGTTTTAAATATATTTATTTATCCATTTTATATTCTGTACTTATTTATTTTTTGATAATGAAAGTGATTTTATTTTATTTTAAATAGTGCTTTTGGAAATAAGCTTCATAATTTGTTCATATCATTTCTTCATTAGTTTTTTCTTCCTAACTCATTATATTTGATTAAATATTTAAATAGACATAATAAAATTGGGATAGAGAGTGCATTAAACTTAGGTTCTGCATTAGCAAATTGCACTAATCTATCAAATTTAGTACTTGATCTAAGATAAAATAAATTTTTTTTTTTATATATTTTTTAATTTAAAACAATAAAACATTTTATATTTATTAGCTTTTTATTTTGTTTAATTTTTTAAATCTAATTGATATTTTCTTAATTTTAATCAATTTTAATTTAAAAATTTTGTTTTGATTATTCATTTCTCAATTTTAAAATACTTCCTTACTAAATAATAATATTATCTTTATTTTTTAAAAAGTACTAATTAATTGGGTGCATAAGGTTCATCAGGCTTAATTTCTGCTCTAGCTAACTGCTCTAAACTCTCTGATTTGAAGCTATATCTTAAGTAAAAATAATCTCACATTTTTTTATACACATGTATGTATAAACCAGGGTTATCAATAAATAAAATTTATTAAAATAAAAAACTGATAAATTGAATAAACAATAAAACTCTATTTATTTATTTATTTATTTATTTATTTATTATCCTTCTATTTTATTTTATTTATTTGTCTCAATTATTTTTTTTTAATTTTCAAATATTTTTTATTTTAACTGAAGATTTGATTTAAAATTTTTATTTTTTATGATATTATCTTTGTGAACAGTTATATTTTCTTGAATATTTAAAAAGTGAGAATAATATTGATTCACAGGGAGCATCAGACTTAGGTTTTGCTTTAATAAGCTGCAAAAATCTCTCAAATTTAGTGCTTTATTTGAGGTAAACTTAGCTTTATTTTTTTCAGACTTTCCAATTTAAAATTTAATTTAAAACAATAAATAAATAATTTTCAATTGTTAGCTTTTATGTATTTAATTTTTCTATTATAATTACTTTATTTTATTTTTAACTTATTTTGGATTTTTAAGTTTGAGGTTGATTATTAATTTCTTATTTTTAATATTTTCTAATGACAAATCTTATTTTTTTGGATATATAAATAGCAATAATTAGATTGGCGATTAGGGAGTATCAAGCTTAGGCTCTGCTTTAGCAAAATGCACTAAACTCTCAAATTTGATTCTTAGTCTTTAGTAAAGAAGTTTATTTATTTTGATTTTTATATTTAAATTAAATTAACTCAATATAATTTTATTTATTGTTTTTTAATTTTTATTGTGGTATTTTAATAAAGTTTTCTCATTTATTTTTAAATTTGACTTTTTATTTAATTTTTTTATAATTTAACAAATCAATAATTATATTTTTTAATACTTAAAATAGTTACAATTAATTTGGTACATAGGGAGCATTAAGCTTTAGCAAATAGCTCTACGCTCTAAAATTTAACACTCTATCTGATGTAAAAAAGTTGATTTGTTTAAAATTGTTAAAAGTTTTTAAAATTAGTTAATTTATTGTCAAAAATACTATATTTTTTTAATAAATTTTTATTTCATTTTTTTTTTTTTGAGATGAAAGCTTTTTTATTTATTTTAAATCATTTTTAATTCTTTATTTTTATTTATTTATTTTTTCATCATTTTTTAATTCTAATTAATCATTTTTCTTGAATATTTAAAAAGAAAAAATTAAATGGGTGCATAGGATGCATCAGATCTAGGTTCTGCCTTCGCAAGGTGCAATAATCTCTCGAATTTAGCACTTTATCTGCAGTAAAAAGAAATAATTTATTTGTTTTAGATTATAAATATTTTATAAGTTTTTTATTTATTTAAAAATATTTTTTAATTAATTTAAACTCTATTTATTTTAAATTAATTTTATTTTCTTGAATATAAAAAGTAACAATTAAATTGGTGATGAAGGAGCATCATAGCTAGGTATAAATTTAGCTAATTGCACGAAACTCTCACATTTATTACTTGGTCTAATGTATAACACATTATTATTTTATTTGCTTTAGATTGTGATATTTAAAAGAAATAAACTTTAAATAATTTTTTTATTTATTTATTTTTTTTTAGAAGCATCTTATATTTTTTATTAAATCTCATTTTTAATTTTTACTTTGATAATTTATCAATTCTTTTTTTTTCTTCATTTTTTATCTCTAACTAATTATCAAAATTTATTGAATATACAAAGTTAGAATAAAATTGGTGCATAAGGAGTTTCGGACATAGGCTCTGCTTTATCATAATGCACTAATCTGCAAAATTTGATACTTGATTTACGGTAAATATAATTTATTTATTCTCTATTATGATAAATTTTCAAAAATAAAAAATTAATTTAAAAGAACATAATTAATTCGTTTGATTTATTAACTTATTATTTTATTTATGTTTAAGTGATAATCAAATAGATGAAGAGGGCATATCAGCCTTGGGTATTAATTTATCGAATTGTATCAATCTCTAAAATTTTACACTCTATCTAAGGTAAAAAGTTTCTTTTTTTAGTTTGTAATATTTGCTATAATAAAAATTAAATTAAAACAATAAAACTCTAATTTTTATTATTTTTTATTGAGAAAAGGTTTTATTCTAAATTATCTTTCTTTTTAGTCTCATTTTTATAATTTTTATTACAATTTTATTTATTTTGTTTTAATACTAAAAGTTCAAATACAATAAATGGATCACAAATTTCGAAAGTAAAGAATAAATTTATAAGATCAAAAAGATTAGTTGTCATAAAAATTAATTTATGATTATTTTTTTGTTTATTATGTTTTTCTTATGAATAATTAAATGTAAAATATTTTTTTTTAAATGATATGTTAAAAAATAAGATAAAAAATAGAACTTTTAAAAGTTAATTAATTTTTTATTTATATTTTTATTTGAAAGATTAATAATTTATCTTTACTATTTATTTAGTATTAAAAATTATTGTATTTTTAATTAATTAGTCCTTCTTTTCTCTTTTATGAAGTATGAATTTTGTATGCTTAAATTTTGAATCAACCTCCATTTTAAATTTTTATTGAAAGTTAATTAGGTATCTAATAATTTATAATATTTACTAGGGATAGACCGAATAAAATTTATATTCGGTAGTCAGTTAAAAATTTTTTGAAATTATTAGATAATTTTTTTAATTTTTAAAAAAAATATTCTATCAAATATCATGCTATTATTAAATAAATATATAATATAATTCAGTTAATAAACTCATTCACTATTTTTACATCCATTAAAATTAATTTGCTTCCTTAAAAATAAGTACCAAAATATAATCTTAGATCATCAAATTATGTAAGCTTCTCTTTATATTAATCTTGTAATCCTAGCTTATACTCATAATTAGGATAATCTAACACTTCTAAAATCTACTCTTTCAAACACAATCTTAGTTCTATCATATTCTCTCCGCTTGTCTTAAATCCTGCTCCCTTTAATTATTTATCAATACCATAACCTCCATATTTAATTACAGATTGATTATTTTTTTGTAAGTAACAACTTAATTACTCTGAAAATCCATAAGTTTAATCAGCATTTGAATTTCTCATTAGACCTATCATAAAATATTAACCTTCTTTTAGACTTTCTACTTTTATCCTAAAAATATACTTCTAATCTTTTTCTAAATTTGTATTTGATATACAATTAATCAAAGCATTATTATTTAATTTTTCAATTTCATAATAACCATTTTCTTTTTTATTTACCACACTTTTTCTCTACCCATTATTATACTAAGTTGCTAACAATTTTAGATCTAAATTTGGTAAACTTTCCTCATATAAAGCATAATAAAATCTTTTATCTTTCAAATTTCTGAAGAAATCAAATTTATTTTTGTCAGTAAAACAATTAGTGAAGTTAATTTATTTTAAGAAAGGTTTTACATCAACTAAGAACTTTTCAAACTATTAAATGAATTCCTACCTCAAGAAACTCATTTTAGAATCTACAATTTATGTCATTTATTTAATTTCTTAACTATCCTTTACTTCCTATTCAAATTATTATTCCCCTCTTGACAAAGCTATTGAATGCTTTACATATTCTTCTATCAAATTTATTTTTTCATCGCTAATCTTGGAAAAGTCAATTTATTCTTTATTCTCTTTGAAAACAGCTGTTTTGAAACTAAATTATTTAAGTAGAGGATTTATGCTTTAAAGATTCTCACTTAGCTTGTTTAAGAATTAATCAGAGCAAAAGTTAGATTTATTAGAAACAAGCTTCATGATTAAGTCAGATGTTAGTTTGAAATCTACAATTTAATTACTTTGATCTATTATATTAGCTTCAAAATGAGTTCTAGTGTTATTATGATTTGTACTACTAACTTCAGGAATATCTAAATTGAAGAAAGAAATGTGGTCAATAAGAGTAAATAATTACTATTTAATGATTTGAGGATATTCCATATTGAAATTTGTTTTTAATTAATTTGCTTAGGTAAGTAGACTTTACAACAATTCAGTGTTTTTATCTTTTTGAGACTCCATTTGTGAGATAAATTCTTTACAAAGAGTTGAATGATCTTCGAGGTTATTTGGTTATTCGTTGTTAAGAATCTACTTAAACTAAAGAATGTCAGAAATTTCTTAATATCTTTTGATGATTTGCTGTGTATCAATAGGATATTTCAAGGCTTCGTTGATCATCTTTTTTTAGATGACATCTATTTTATTTAAAAACTCTTCTTTGAATTGATGAAAGAAGTCTGTAATTTGCTTGACATAGTCAAGTGAAGATTAATTTGATGTAAGATCGATGAGATCTGAGATGATTTGATAATTGTTGACTGGTGGCCATTTTGGGATGATGTTAGTGTCTGCTTCTTAAAAAATCTGATCGATCATAAGATAGTTGATAGATTTAAAGTGAAGATCGTGATTAAAACAGGAAGAGCAGTAAAAGAGAGGTTTAGTGGAAATAGGTTGTGTGAGGACATCGTTTACTTAAATAAATTGGAGGTTTTTATTTGGATGCTTATTGCATTTTAGATGTTAGATGGTAATTTTATCCATTTATAAGATTTGAGTTAGAAGTGATATTTTTAATGTATTTTGATTATTTTTTAGATAGTTAATTTGATTTTCTTTGAATTTAATAAGTTAAAAAGAAGAAAGATACTTATTTATTTGAGTACCTTATAAAAAAATGTTAAATATTCTAATAGATAATAAATAAATTAGGGCTATAAATTTTGAGAATTTTGGTTGTATCTTATAATATTGATAAGATACAACTTAATTGATTATAATATAATATTCATAAGAAAAATAATTTGCTTTCAAATTATAAATATTTTTAGGATGAAGAAAAGTTTTTAAATATTAAATAAAAATTTGTATATTAAAAAATGTACACAACTGACAAAATATGATTATTTTATATTGAATAAAGCATAGGTTTTTTAAATCTACTTAATTGAATCAAATTATTCAATTTTGTTTATTGTAAATCGAAATGTCATTTTACTCTAAATAAAAAAATTTAAATAATTTATATCTAATAAAATAAATAGTAAATTGATAATTACAACCTATTGCAAAAAAAAAAACAAATGTTATTATAAAAAAAATACTTTACAAATATCGAAGATGTAATTGCTAATTTTTTCAAAAACTATTCCATAAATAAATTTTATCATTAAAAAAGTTTTTAAGCTCTTCGTTTTAATCTTGCTTTGAGCTTCATATTAATCTAAAGTAAATTAAATTTACTTTCAATAAACATATAATTAATAGTTTTATTAAAGAGTTAATTTAATTAATTATTTCTTTAAGTAAAAAAATCATTTTCAGACTTTATTTAAAAGAAAAGCTAAAATTTAATAATTTTATTAGCTATTATGATTATCTATCTTTTTAAATTGGTTTTTTCATATATTTTCTTAATTTTTTCCCTTTATATGGTTATATCTCTTCAATATTTCAAAAGTTATAATTAAATCGAGGTATCATAGAGCGTGTTAGATTTAGGATCAGCTTTAAAAAATTACACTAATCTCTCAGTTTTAACCATTGAACTACGGTAAAAACAGTTTATTTATTTGTTTTCTATTATGATATTTTAGCATAAAATTTTTATTTTTTAGCTTAATTTTTTATTCAATTATTTAAATTTATACCTTGATTTCATTCATTATTTTCTTAAATAATATTATTTTTATCATTTAAATCTTAATTTGATTGTTAATTATTAAATTCCTTTATATTTTTTCTTTTCTCTTGACTATATTATCTTAAATACTTAAAAAGTAGCAGCAAAATTGGTGCACATGGGGCATCAAACTTAGTTTCTGCTTTAGGAAACTGCTTTAATTTATCAACCTTGACACTTGATCTTGGGTATAAACAGTTTTTTTAAAAAAATATATTTATCCATTTTATATTCTATACTTATTTATTTTATGATAATCAAAATCATTTTATATTAAATGGTTTTTTTGGATAGTAAGCTTCATAATTAATTTGTTCATATCATTTTTTCATTAGTTTTTTCCTCCTAACTCATTATATTTGATTAAATATTTAAATAGACATAATAAAATTGGGATAGAGAGTGCATTAAATTTAGGTTCTGCATTAGCAAATTGCCCTAATCTATCAAATTTAGCACTTGATCTTGGGTAAAATTAATTTATTTTTGTCATATTTTTTCATTTAAAACAATAAAACTTTTTATATTTATTAGCTTTTTATTTTGTTTAATTTTTTAAATTTATTTTATATTTTCTTAATTTTAATCAATTTTAATTTAAAAATTTTGTATTGATTATTCATTTCTCAATTTTAAAATACTTTTTCTTTATATTTCTTACTAAATAATAATATTTTATTTATTATTTAAAAAGTACTAATTAATTGGGTGCATAAGGTTCATCAGGCTTAATTTCTGCTCTAGCTAACTGCTCTAAACTTACTTATTTGAAGCTGTATCTTAAGTAAAACAATGTCATATTTTTTTATATAAACCAGGGTTATCAATAAATAAAATTTATTAGAATAAAAACTGATAAATTGAATAATTTTTTGCTGATTGTTTTATTGTTTTAAGCTTGAAAAAAAGTAAAATAAAATTTTAATAGTTATATTTTCTTGAATATTTAAAAAGTGAGAATAATATTGATTCACAGGGAGCATCAGACATAGGTTTTGCTTTAATAAGCTGCAAAAATCTCTCAAATGTAGCGCTTCATTTGAGGTAAACTTAGCTTTATTTTTTTCTGATTTTCCAATTTAAAAGTAAAATTAAAACAATAAATAAATTATTTTCAATTGTTAGCTTTTATGTATTTAATTTTTCTATTATTATTACTTTATTTTATTTTTCACTCATTTTGGAAAGTTTGAGGTTAATTATTAATTTCATATTTTTAATATTTTCTAATGACAAATCTTATTTTTTTGAATATATAAATAGCAATAATTAGATTGGTGAATAGGGAGTATCAAGCTTAGGCTCTGCTTTAGCAAAATGCACTAAACTCTCAAATTTGATTCTTAGTCTTTAGTAAAAAAGCTTATTTATTTTGATTTTTATATTTAAATCAATAAAATTTTATTTATTGTTTTTTAATTTTTATTGTGATATTTTAATGAAGTTATCTCATTTTTAAATTTGACTTTCTATTTAATTTTTTTATAATTATACAAAATAATAATTTTATTTTTTTAATATGTAAAATAGTTACAATTAATTTGGTGCATAGGGTGCATTAAGCTTAGGTTTTGCTTTAGCAAATAGTTCTACTCTCTAAAATTTGACACTCTATCTGATGTAAAAACAGTTGATTTGTTTAAAATTTTTAAAAGTTTTAAAATTAGTTAATTTATTGCAAAAATACTATATTTTTTTAATAAATTTTTATTTCTTTTATTTATTTTTTAAGATGAAAGCTTTTTTATTTATTTTAAATCATTTTAAATTTAACTTCTTTATTTTATTCCTTTATTTTTATTTATTTATTTATTTTCTCATCATTTTTTTATTCTATTTAATTATTTTTACTTGAATATTTAAAAAGAAAAAATTAAATGGGTGCATAGGATGCATCAGATCTAGGTTCTGCTTTCGCACGGTGCAATAATCTCTCGAATTTAGCACTTTATCTGCAGTAAAAATAAATAATTTATTTGCTTTAGATAATTAATATTTTATAAGTTTTTTATTTATTTAAAAATATTTTTTTTAATTAATTTAAACTCATTTTTAAATTTGTTTTTATGTTTTTATATTTATTTTAAATTAATTTTATCTTCTTGAATATAAAAAGTAACAATTAAATTGGTGATGAAGGAGTATCATAGCTAGGTATAAATTTAGCGAATTGCACCAAACTCTCACATTTATTACTTGGTCTAATGTATAACACATTATTTATTTATTTGTTTTAGATTGTGATATTTAAAAGAAATAAACTTTAAATAATTTTTTTATTAATTTATTTTTAGAAGCATTTTATTTTTTTTATTTTATCTCATTTTTTAATTTTTAAATTTTACTTTGATAATTTATCAATTCTTTTTTTTCTTCATTTTTATCTCTAACTAATTATTAAAATTTATTGAATAAACAAAGTTAGAATAAAATTGGTGCATAAGGAGTTTCAGACTTAGGCTCTGCTTTGTCATAATGCACTAATCTGCAAAATTTGATACTTGATTTACGGTAAATATAATTTATTTATTCTCCATTATGATAAATTTTCAAAAATAAAAAATTAATTTAAAAGAACTTAATTCATTTGATTTATTAGCTTATTATTTTATTTATGTTTTAAGTGATAATCAAATTGATGAAGATGGCATATCAGCCTTGGGGATTAATTTATCCAACTGTATCAATCTTTCAAATTTTACACTCTATCTAAGGTAAAAAGTTTCTTTTTTTTGTTTGTAATATTTGCGATTATAAAAATTAAATTAAAACAATAAAACTCTAATTTTTATTATTTTTTATTGAGAAAAGGTTTTATTCTAAATTTGTCTTTCTCATTTTTATGACAATTTTATTTATTTTGTTTTAATACTAAAAGTTCAAATACAATAAATGGATCACAAATTTCGAAAGTAAAGAATAAATTTCTAAGATCAAAAAGATTAGTTGTCATAAAAATTAATTTATGATTATTACTTTGTTTATTATGTTTTTCTTATGAATAATAAAATGTAAAATATTTTTTTTAAATTATATGTTAAAAAATAAGATAAAAAATAGAACTTTTAAAAGTTAATTAATTTTTTATTTATATTTTTATTTGAAAGATTAATATTTTATCTTTACTATTTATTTAGTATTAAAAATTATAGTATTTTTAATTAATTAGTCCTTCTTTTCTTCTTTATGAAGTATGAATTTTGTATGCTTAAATTTTGAATCAACTTCCATTTTAAATTTTTAATGAAAGTTAATTAGGTATCTAATATTTGATAATATTTACATATAAATAAAATATTAAATTTAAAATCGACTTAAAAATTAAATAATATTAATAAAGATATTTAGAATCTTTTAAAAGTTTTTTTTTAATTTATTTATAAATGATCGATTATTAATAAAATAATTTAAATCGATGAAAAAGTTGTTTAAACATTTGACAATATCACTTTAATTTTACAACACAAATTTTGACAAGAAAATTTACAGTAAAATATTTAAGATAAAATCAACATCTTTGGCAACCAAAAGAGTAGTTGCAGCATAAACCAGAGCAGCAAGAGGGTAAACCAATACCGCACAATTGACCTTGTCTTTAGCACATAAGAGGTTCAACTTTACCTTCAGTTTAGGTTTCAGCTTCTGCTTAGGGTTGAGTTTCAGTTTAAGCTTGAGTTTCTTCAGCCATTCTTAAGTGAGCATTAGAAAAGACAAAGAGAACAAGAAGTATCAAAGCAACCAAGTTAAATCTCATTTTTTATTATTTTTTTTAGATAGATAGATGATTTCCTTTTTTGTTTTTTATTTATTTAAAAATGATTATTTGTTTTCAGATTTACACTACTATTTAAACGTGAACATTCGGATTAGATAAAAATTCAAAATATTTAAAAGGTGAGTGTTATCAGATACTAAATTAATGAATTAATGAATAATTAATATATGTCTACAGTAAAGAATAATTGTAACACATTTCAAAAGCAATTAAATCTATTAATTTATTTATTGAAGAGAAATATTTCGAGCTTAATTTATCAGAAAGCAACAAAAATCGAATAGATTAAATATTTCATGGTTTGTTTTAATGAATTATATTACTTAGCTATTTAACAAAAGATTAGCAAAATCAAAATGTTAATTAAAAACTTTTAATATTTAATTGATAATACCATTCGAAAGTATAATTAAATAAGGTGCTAAATTAAACTTAATGCGTCAATTATATTAATATATTAATTATACTGTTTTTTGTAAAGGATAAATAGAAATTTTATATTTAAAATTATTTTTAAGGTGCTTTAAAAATGATTTCAAAATCTGTTAAATAATGCAACTTAAAGAGAAATAAGTATGATTTAATCAACAATAATTGTTTTAGGTTATGAAAAATTCATATTTTAAAAAATCAATCTAATCAAATACTTTAGTAATAATTTAAAATGAAAGTAGGAAATCTGTAAAGTGTTTTTGTTAAAATTCAATAATCAAATAATAAAATAGTAACACTCTATTAATATTTACTTTTTTTCATCAAAATCATTTATCAATGTGGATTTTATCAAAAATTTTCTAATTAAAATTAGCATAATTTAACATAAATCAAACAAAATGCATATCTTAAAACAATATTTCTCACAAATTAATAATACTTTTTTGATAGATTATAAAGATGATAATAGCATAATTTTCCAAAAACGAATAAATAATTCTTTCTTAATTTTTCAAATAACAATCAATATCTTTCTTTTAAAATAGATTATTTTCTAAAAAATAGTATCTTAAATGCTTGTAATTTAAGCAATTTATATGGAAATTAAATATTTTTATTTATAATGTAAAAATAAAATTTCTTTATGTAATATGAATTGTATTTTGCATCAAATCTTTTTATGTTTTCTTTCATAAATAAAATTTGATTATTAATTTATAAGAATTCATAAGAAATTGAATTAGCAAATACCTGCTTTTTGTATTATTTGATTTTGATTACAAAATATAATTGCCAAATTGATATTAGAATTCTAATACTTCGTTAGAAATTCATATATCAAACCTCACTTAAAATAATACATTATTAATCAGCAAGCTTACACAAAATACATTTGAGTATTTACTTATTTTTCATTTCTCATTTTACCTTTAACTAATTTTCAAATTATCATTTATTTTCCTCTTAAAACTCCAACTTTAAAAATATAATACCTTATTTGCCTCTCAGCCTTTTATATAATTTAAAATCAATTTCTAAAAAGAAGATTACTTACTTACTATAGAGACTCTTATTTTTCCTTTTTTCACCTAATCTTATCCCAATATTTACCTATTAATTATAAAAATACTAATAAAAAAGGAAAATATTAATTTACAGAATGGGTTAATAGTAAGTAGGGTATATACATAAATGTTTTATTTTTTTATTCTAATTTTGGTATCAATTAATACTTTTAAAAGAAATAACTATTTAAACTTTATTGATTAGATTTTAATTTTTAATTTTTAATTTAATATTTAGTAAATTATTCATCATAAAATATATTCTAAATATTTCTTAGATATCAATAAAATTGAATAAAATTTTTTGTTTTAGAGAATTGTAAAAATTATTTTATTGTTTACTAAAATAAGAACAGTAAGTAAATTAATTAAAAATATAAATAATTAGAATATTTTTTATGATATTTTACTCAGCTTATTCTCATTTATTTATTTATTTATGTATTTATTTTTTCAGAAAAATTTAAAAAGAAAATATGGAGATTTCATATAAGATTAATTTTACTTGTTAAATCTTTAGGTGTATTGTTATATTAATTTGAAGTAATTTATAAAAATATTAATCATTTTATTTAATATATTGAAAAATGTTTATAAAATTTCTAAACTAAAAATAAAAAATACTAAATTTAAAATAGATTTATTAAAGATTAAAATTAGAATTCTTAAGATGACATTGGTATCATGTATATTTTATAGGGTTAAATATGAATATGAATGTACATGAAGGAATAATGAGCTAAAAAAGTATTATTTTCAAATAAAATTAGTCTAAATTAAATAAAATTGAAATTAAGTCAAAAACAAAAGATAAAGTAAATTTATTTAAAAAAGTTAGTTAGAAAATATAATCAAATAAATATTATAACATAAATTTAAATTCTGAATAAATCATCTAAACATATTTTTAGAAGAAATTAAATTCAAATTTTAAGTCTTAATTTCTGAGGAATGACTTATTTTATTGACATAATATATATAAATATTATAAACATTGCTTTAAAAACTTTCGAAGTGTCTATTTTACAATCATTAATTATTTCCATGTATTAATCATCCTAAAAAATAATTTGCTAATTTAATTAGTATGTAATCTTTGTTTCTTTTATATAATTAATTAGAAATTAATCTATACATTTCTCATTATTAATTAAAATGAAAAACAATGAAATTCATCAGAATCATAAAAAAATTTTTTATCAAAATTAATAAATAAATAAATAAGTGTATGATATGTTTTCTAATAATGGATTATCCCTAATGCAAAATAAATTTTATGTTAAATATGATTCTAAAAGATGAATATTGATACTAAAAATTTGGATATTAATTCTTCATTTTAAATTCATAAAAGTGAATATAAAATTTGTACTTTTCCAATAATACAAACTCTTTTTAATCAAACAAAATTTGATAAAATAAAAAATTGCTTTGTTTAATATTTTCAACGCTGGTTAAAAATTTTAAATTATGATAAATATCTAATATAAAAATAATATTTAAATGAATTTTTTAATCCTAAATTAAAAAACAAAAATAAATAAATACATTTAAATTTAATATTTTTCTAATTGAATATTATTTTTTAAGTTTTTTATTTTTTAGAAATAATGAAATTAAAAATGTAATAAATATACATAGATTAATTAATATTAAAAATTCAAAAATTATTGAATGAAAAATAATGATATTTAATTGACACAAAATTAAAAAATAAACTGTTTGTTTCTTTTACAAAAATAAGTATGTATTTAAAATTAAGATTTTTAAATATCAAGCTAAAATTTTTTTAAAGGATTATAAAAATATTTTTTTAATTTATAAATGAGCAATTATTATTAAAATAGAAATAATTTAAATAAATAAAAAAGTGGTTTAAACATTTGATAATATCAAATTGATTTTACAACACAAATTTTGACAAGAAAATTGACAGTAAAATATTTAAGATAAAATCAACATCTTTGGCAACCAAAAGAGTAGTTGCAGCATAAACCAGAGCAGCAAGAGGGTAAACCAATACCGCACAATTGACCTTGTCTTTAGCACATAAGAGGTTCAACTTTACCTTCAGTTTAAGTTTCAGCTTCTGCTTAGGGTTGAGTCTCAGTTTAAGCTTAAGTTTCTTCAGCCATTCTTAAGTGAGCATTGGAGAAGACAAAGAGCATAAGAAGCATCAAAGCAACGAAGTTAAATCTCATTTTTAATATTTTTGTTTTTATTAGATAATTAATTTTCTTTTTTGTATTTTAATTTTATAAAAATGATTATTTGCTTTTAGATTTTCTCAATTATTTAAATGTGAATATTTAGATCTATCGAATTAAAAATATTTAAATGATCAATTCTAGCAAATCTTAAATTATTTAATTATTGATATGTGTTTATAGTAAAGACGAATTGTAACAAATTTCAAAAGCAATTAAATCTATTTATTTCCTATAGAAAACATTTCTATCTTAATTTATCATAACGTAACAAAAATCTGATGAACTAATTATTTTTCGACTTTTAGCAATTTTTTTACATAGTTATTTAACGAAAAATTTAAAAATGCTAGCATTTACTGTAAGTTACCCATTATTTAGCGAACCTTATAACTAATTAGCAAATTTTGTTAATTTTTTTTATATGAGGGCTTGATTAGAGCATGGCTTATTTTTGAACAGTACTATCCATAAAATAATTATGGTAAATTCTTTGATAGTAATTTAAAATAATATTTAAAATAAATTCATTAAAACTTTATAATTAATAAAATATTAAAACAGTAACATAATTAACATTTACTTTACTAATTAAAAGAATTTATCAATATGAATTTTATCAAAAAATTTCTAATTAAAATTAGCATAATTTAATATTTTAGCAATAACATAAATCTAAATTTATATCTTAAAACTATATTTCTCACAATTTAATCATATTTTTGACTGTTAAAACACAACACAGTTTTCCAAAAAAATTTAATTGTTTCTTTGATTTTATTATTTAAATTAACAAAATAATTTTAAAATTGATATTGTCTTAAAAATATTAACTTAAATTTTTGTAATTTGTAAGGATTAATATTTTTTTCAATTAGTAATAATTTAATTTATTTAAGTTATCTGAATAGTATTTTGCATTAAATCTTTTTTGTCTTTTCATAAATAAAATTTGATTTTTAATTAATAAGATTTCATAAGAAATTAAATTAGCAAATCTTTGTTTTTTTATGTTTGATATTGGTTACTTACTTTTTTAAATTGTCATTAGATTTCTAATACCTCATAAGAAATTCATATTTCAAATTTAAATTATAATAATACATATTTGATCAGCAAGATTACATAAAATACATTAGATTAATTACTTATATTTTTTATGGAAACAAACTTTCAAATTATAATTTTTCTCTTTAAATTTCTTCTAACTCTTAGAATAAATAATACCTTACTTACTCTCAACCTTTTACATAATATAAAATGAATTTCTTAGAAGAATAGTATTTAGTAAATTTAATGCTATTTTTTTTGTTAAAAAATTATTTTTATTAATTTTGTTTTGTATGATTAAATCATCAAATTAAAAGTGAATGTTAAATTCCTAATTGAATATTTTCTTTCATTTTTAATAAAAATTTTAAATACACAAATTAATTTGAATAATTCCTCAATAAATAAAAATTAAATATTTTTAAATTTAAGAAGCAAGGGGGTGGTGATAATTTTTAATCCCTAAAAATAAATCTTGTAATAGTCATTTAAATTGAATATTTAAGATGGATTAAAATGCTCAATCCCTTCTATCTACCCCCCCCCCCCCCCCCACCTAAATTGAAGAAATAGAATAATAATAAAATTATTTTATTAAAATTTAAGTAGTTTAATTAATTAATTACTAGGATTTTATCAACACATATATGGCTGACTGACTATCAATTTTTAATTCTTGTTATATTTATAACTATATTTTAAATATAAATGTTAATGTTACACTTACTTTTTGTGATATTTATTTATAAAAGATAATTAAACAAATTTTATTTGATAATTGTTATTAAATATTTATTTGATCTATCTTTTTATCTAAATTTATTAGATATAAAACAAATTAATTAATTAAATTTTGATAATTTTCTATTGAATATTTTTGAAAGAAAAAAAAATGATATAATAGAAAAATTACAACAAGCTAGAACAAGTAAATATTTCTTTTTTGATTAATAATTTTATTTATTTTATTTTTATTAATAAAAAAGTTTTTAAACTCTACATTTTAATCTCACTAGATTCTCCAAATTGATCTTTTGTATATTTAATTTATTAATTTTATTATAGTTTTTATTTTTTAACATTTAATTTTTAAGCTTTTTTTAAATGTTATTTTCTAATTGAAATTCTCATTTAAAATTATTCAGTTTTATTTTAATAAATAATTTTTTAATTATTTTAAATCAATCTTAACTCAATTTTTATTTTTATTTTTAATTCTTCATTTTTTTATATTTCATATTTTTTCCTTCTAACTAACAAAATAACTATATATCTTTTCTTCAATTATTGAAAATGACAAATTAATTGGATTTATTTTTTATTATGTTAATGATTATTTTCTTTTTCATTAATTTAACTCATTTTTAAATTTTTAACTTTTGCTTTTATTATCAATTAATTTATTTCTAAAAATTAATTTCACATTTTTTCTTCATTTTCTCCTTCTAACTAATTAATTAAATCTATAATTTTTTTTAATATTTAAAAAGAAGAAATAAAATTGGTGATGAACGCACATCTGGATTAGGTTCTGGTTTAGGAAAGTGTACTAATCTTTCTAATTTGGCACTTAATTTAATGTAAAAAAAGTTGTTTTTTTTAATATTAAAATGAATTTTAAATAATAATTAAATTCATTTTTTCTTTTTCAAGTTTTACTTTTATTATTAATTAATTTCTGATTATTTCATTTATTCTTCATTTTTTCCTTCAAGCTAACTAAGTAAGTAACCCTATATTTTTCCTTCAATATTTAAAAAGGTTTAATTAAATTGGTGATTAAGGGGCATTAAGCTTAGGTTAAGGTTTAGCAAACTGTACTAATCTCTCAAATTTGAAACTTTAATTTCAGTAAAAACAGTTTATTTGTCTTGGATAGTGATATTTTTAAAAATAAAAATTAATATAAAATAAATATTTACTACTTTAAATTTATTTATTAGCTTTTTATTTGATTATTTTTATTTTTTTATTTTTCTTTTTGTGTATTTTTTTTTTCTTCTTTCTTTCTTTATTATTTGCTTGCTAATTCAACTCATTTTTAATTTTCAATTTATGATTTAATTTATTATTATTTCTTCATTTTTTCTTTCTAACTTACTTATTAAAAATATATTTTTTCTTCAATTTTTAAAAGGTTTAATTAAATTAGCGATTAAGGTGCATTAAGCTTAGGTTAAGGTTTAGCAAACTGCACTAATCTCTCAAATTTGAAACTTTAACTTGAGTAAAAAAAGTTTATTTGTTTTGGATTATGATATTTTTTAATATAAAATAATTAATTATCTTTAATCTGTTTATTGGCTTTTTTTTTGATATTTTTTTTTTTTCTTCTGTTTTTCTGATTTCTTTCTTTCTTTGTTTTTTGTTTGTTTGTTTACTAATAAGAATTATTTTTAAATTATTATTTCATATTTTTCTAACTAACTGATAAACTATATATTATTTCTTCAACTTTTAAAAAGCTGCAATAAAATTGGTGCAGAGGGTGCGTCAGGTTTAAGTTCTTCTTTAGCGAACTGCTCTAATCTCTCAAATTTGACACTTTAACTTGAGTAAAAAAAGTTTATTTATTTTGGATTATGATATTTTTTAACATAAAAATGAATTTAAAACAAAATTTCTAACTCTTTTAAAATGTTTATAAGCTTTTTATTTGGTTTATTTTTGTTTTATTTTTCTTCTAATTTTATTTATTTTCTCTTTGTTTGTTTGTTTGTTTGTTTGTTAATTTATTCTATTTTACATTTTTAACTTGAGTTTTTATTATTAATTAATTAATTTCTTATTATTTCATATTTTTTCTTTATCTTATCCTTCTCACTTACTAACTAACTAAGTAATTAAGTCAATATATTTTTTCTTAAATATTTAAAAAGAGGAAATTAAATTGGTGCAAAAGGTGCATCAGGTTTAGGCACTGGTTTATCAAACTGCACTAATCTCTCAAATTTGACACTTTCTCTGGAGTAATATTATTAATTTTTTTAAATTGTTTATTAGCTTTTTTTTGAATTATTTTTTTATGATGTTTGTGAATTTTTGCTTTGTTTCTTTATTTCCTTGTAATTAAATTCATTTTTTCATCTTTTCCTTCTAAATGACTAATTAACTCTATATTTTTTCTTTAATTTTTCAAAAGTGAAAATAAAATATATAATGAAGGTGTTTCTGGCTTAGTTTGTGGTTTATCAAACTGTACTAATCTCTCAAATTTAACACTTTGTCTTGAGTAAAAATAGTTTATTTGTTTTGGATTGTGGTTTTTTGTAGTATAAAAAGAATTTTTAAAATAATTAGCTTTTTATTTGATTTAGTTTTCTTTTTTTATTCTGCTTTTATTTTTTCTCTTTGTTTGTTTAACAAATTAAATTTTTACATTTTCAACTTTTGCTTTTATCATTAATTTCTAATAATTTCAATTTTTCCTTGATTTTTTCCTTCTAATTAACAAATTAACAACTTCGATATTTAATAGTAGAAATTAAATTGGCGATGTAGGTGCATCTAGCTTAGGCTCTGGTTTAGGAAAGTGTGTTAATCTCTATAATTTGAAACTTAATCTGATGTAAAAACAGTTTTTTATTTTGGATTGTGTTATTTTTTAAAATTAAAAATAATTTAAAATGATATAATTAACTATTTTCATTTTTTTATTATTATATATGATACATAATTTTTATTATTCTACTTTTATGTTTTGTTTTTTTTGTTTTTAATTAAACTCATTTTATCATTTTCAGCTTATGATTTTATTATTAATTTATTTCTTACTATTTCATATTTTTTCTTTCAAACAAACTAATTATCTCTTATTTATTGAATATTAAAAAAGATAAAATTAAATTGGTGCAATTGGTGCATCAGGTTTAAGTTCATATTTTGCAAACTGCACTAATCTCTCAAATTTGGCAATACATCTTGAGTAAAAATAGTTTATTTGTTTTGGATTGTGATATTTTTTGAATAAAAATGAATTTAACACAAATATAACTCACTCTTTTTTTTTCCTTCTCTTTGTATTTTAGTTAATTTACTTAATTTTACATTTTTATTATTAATTAATCAATTTCTTATATTTTCATATTTTTTCTTCATTTTTTCTTTCTAACTAATTAATTAAGTTTATATTTTTTCTTTAATATTTAAAAAGTGGAAATTAAATTGGTGATGAAGGTATATCTGGCTTAGGTTCTGGTTTAGGAAAGTGCACTAATCTTTCTAATTTGGCACTTCATTTAAGGTAAAAACAGTTAGTTTATTTGTTTTGGGTTGTGATATCTTTTAATATAAAAATGAATTTAAAACAATATAACTAACTAACTAACTAACTCTCTTAATTTTATTATTAAATTTGTATTTGATTTATTTTTTTTCTATTCTTTTTGCTTTTTTTCTTTTTTTCTTAATTTATTTAACTCATTTTTTAATTTTCAACATTTGCTATATTATTAATTTATTAATTTGTTATAATTAATTCATTTTTCCTTTCAATTATCTCTTTATTTTTTCTTTAATATTTAAAAAGTAGGAATTAAATTGGTGCAGAAGGCGCATCAGTCCTGGGTTCTTGTTTAGAAAAATGCACTAATCTCAAAAATTTGGCACTACATCTTCAGTATAAACAGTTTATTTGTTTTGGATTATGATATTTTTCATATAAAAATGAATTTAAAACAAAATAGCTAACTTTTTAATTTATTAATTAGCTTTTTATTTGATTTATTTTTCTTTTTTTATTCTGCTTTTGTTTTCTTTCTTTCTTTCTTCCTTTGTTTGCTTGCTTGTTTTTTTATTTGTAAAGTTAACTCATTTTTCATTTTCAACTTTTGTTTTTTATTTCTAATTAAATTCTTATAATTTCATATTATTTCTTCATTTTTTCCTTCAAGCAAGCAAGCAAACTAACTAATTAGCTAACTAACTGTTAATTTCTTCAATACTTTAAAAGAGAAAATTAAATTGGTGATGAAGGTGCATCTGGTTTAGGCTCATATTTCTCAAACTACACTAATCTCTCAAATTTAGAACTTTATCTTGAGTAAAAATAGTTTATTTGTTTTGGATTGTGATATTTTTTATTATAAAAATTAATTTAAAACAAAAGAGCTAACTCTTTTATTTTATTAGTTAGCTTTTTATTTGATTTATTTTTCTTTATTTTTTTATTTGGAATGTGTGTTTTTTTTTCTATGCTTCATTTTCGCTTTTGCTTTCTTTACTAATTAATTATTTAATTAATATCCTATTATTTTACAATTTTTCTTCATTTTTTCCTAATAACAAGCAAATAAACTCTATATTAATTCAAAAAGTGAAGATTAAATTGGTGATAAAGGCGCATCAGGCTTATGTTCTAGTTTAGGAAAGTGTACTAATCTCTCAAATTTGACACTTTATCTTGAGTAAAAACAGTTTATTTCCTTTTGATTATGATATTTTTTAATATTACAATGAATCCAAAACAATATAAATAACTCTTTAAATTTATTTATTAGTTAGCTTTATATTTAATTAATTTTCATTTTTTCATTTTTTCATTTTCAACTTTTTCTTTTCTTTTATTATTAATTAATTTCTGATTATTTCATATTTTTTCTTCATTTTTTTCTTCTAACCAACTAATTTAGTTTATATTTTTCTTCAATATTTAAATAGTGCAAATTAAATTGGTGATGCATCAGGTTTAGATTTTGGTTTAGGAAAATGCATTAATCTCTCAAATTTGACTCTTTGGCTCGGGTAAATACAGTTTATTTGTTTTGAGTTATCATAATTATTCATATAAAAATGAATTTAAAATTAAAAAACTAACTAACTAATTAATTCTTCAAATTTATTTATTAGCTTTTAATTGTTAATTTAACTCAATTTTAACTTTTAATTTTATTATTAATAAATTATTTCATATTTATTTCTTCATTTTTTCCTTCTAACTCACTAATTAAGTCTTTTTTTTTCTTCAATATTTAAATAGAGATAATTAAATTGGTGCAGAAGGTACATCAGGCTTTGGTTCTTGTTTAGCAAAATGCACTAATCTTTCAAATTTGACGCTTTATCTTCAGTAAAAACAGAATATTTGTTTTGGAATTTTATATTTTTTATTTAAAAAATGAATTTAAAACAAAACAACTAACTCTTTTAATATACTTTTTAGCTTTTTATTTAATTAATTTTTTTTTATTAAATATTTTTTTTCTTCTTTCTTTCTTTGTTAATTAAACTCATTTTTTAATTACCAACTTTTTCTTTTATTATTAATTAACTAATTCGTTTCTTATTATTTCATATCTTTATTAAATTTTTCTTCTAACTAACTAACTAATCTCTATATTTTCTTCAAAATATAAAAAGAAAAAATTAAATTAGTGATGAAGATGCATCATGCTTAAGTTCTGGTTTAGTAAACTGCACTAATCTCATAAATTTAACAGTATATCTTAAGTAAAAGCTGTTTATTTATTTTGAATTGTGATGTTTTTCATATCAAAATTAATTTAAAACAAAATAACTAACTCATTAAATTAATTAAAGTGATTTTTTATTATCAGCTTTTGCTTTTATGATTAATTAATTAATTTCTTATTATTTACAATTTTTTCCTTCTAATTAACTAACTAACTCAATTTATTTTCTTCAATATTTAAAAAGCTACAATTAAATTGGTTCAATTGGTGCTTCTGATTTAGGTTCTGGTTTAGGAAAATGCACTAATCTCTTAAATTTGACACTTTATTTGGTGTAAAAATAGTTTATTTCTTTTGGATTAAGATATTTTTGAATATAAAAATGAATAGGAAACAATATTATTAACTAATTCTTTTAATTTATTTATTTATTAGCTTTTTATTTGATTTATTTTATTTTTTTTTTTTCTGTTTATGTTTTTTTTTTATTTGTTAATTAAAATTATTTTTTCATTTTGAATTTTTGCTTTTATTTTTAATTAATTAATTTCTTATTATTTCCTATTTTTCCTTCATTTTTTCCTTCTAAATAATTTATTAAATTCAATATTTAAAAGTGGAAATTAAATTGACTATAAAGGTGCATCAGACTTAGGTTTTGGCTTAGGAAAATGCACTAATCTCTCAAATTTGACACTTGATCTAAGGTAAAAACAATTTAATTGTTTTGGATTGTTATATTTTTTAATATAAAAATGAATTTAAAATAAGATAAATAACTTTTTAAATATATATAATATTAGCTTTTTATTTGATTCATTTTTTTTTTTCATTTTTTTTGATAACTTTTTTTTTATATTTATTTAATATTTTATTTTAAAATTTTATTCAATTTATTTTTTAAATAATTCATACTAATTTATATTAAAAGGGACAATTAAATCAATTAAAAATAATAATAGAACTTAAAGAACAAGTATCTTTTATTAAAAAGATTAGTTGTCTTACAAATAATATTAAAATGATAAAAATGGTGAAAAAATAACAAATAAATTCAAAAATATTTGAATATTATAATATGTTTTTTTAATAATATAAAATAATCAAATAAATAAACCTTATAAATAGAAGGTTTATTATTAATTTTATATTTATAAATATTGTCAATTCTATAATATAAGAATATTTTAACTATATGAAAATGATAAAAATGGTGAAAAAATAACAAATAAATATAAAATATTTGAATATTTTAATATGTTTTTTTAATAATATTTTATAATCAGATAAATACACCTTATAAATAGAAGGTTTATTATTTTTTATATATTTGTAAATATTGTAAATTCTTTAATATTAGGAATTTTAACTAAGCTATGATTTGATTATAAGGATAAACATAATTTCATTCAAAAATGTTTTTAAATTTATTTCCATTCAAAAATGAGTATGACCCCTCCCCCCACCCCTATGTTTTATTTAATAACTGTTATAAAAATTTATTTCATCATTTATCCAAATTAATTTGATGTAAAAATAAATTAATTTATTAAAAACTTGTAATTAATTAAATTTCCATAAATTGCTTTTCAATATTTTCTAAGAAAAAATAAATAAATGATAAAGAAAAATTATTTTTATAATATAGATCAAGTAAATATTTATTTTATTATTAATATTGTTTATAATTATTTTTACTAATAAAAAAAGTTTTTAAACTCTTCGTTTTAATTACATTAGGATATCTTTATTGGCCAGCTGTATAATTTCTTATTTTTTCATCATTTTTTCCTTCTAAATAACTAATTAAATAATTATTTTTTCTTCAATATTTTAATATGACAGATTTTTTTTATTTACTTATTTTTTTTCTTCTGTTAATAATTATTTTATATCTTATAATATCATATTTTTCTTCATTTTTTTCTTTTCTTCAATATTTAAAAAGTTACTAACAAATTGGTGATAAAGGTGCATCAAGCTTAGGTATTGGTTTAGGATAGTGCACTAATCTCTCAAATTTGACACTATGCCTTGAGTAAATATATTTTATTTGTTTTAGATTGTGGTATTTTTTAATATAAATATGAATTTAAAACAAAATAGCTATTTCTTATAAAATATTTATTTACTTTTTATTTAATTTATTTTCTTTTTTTATTCTGCTTGTGTTTTTTCTTTTTGGTTAGTTAATTTTTAATTTTCTATTTTTTCTTTAATTCATTTCTTATAATTTCATATTTTTTCTACATTTTTTCCTTTTAATTAAGTCTATATTTATTAATACCATATTTAAAAAGATACAAATAAATTGGTGATGAAGGTGCATCAAGCTTAGGTTCTGGTTTAGGGAAATGCATTAATCTCTCAAATTTGGAACTTTATCTTCAGTAAAAATATTTTATTTGTTTTAGATTGTAATTTAAAGGACAAACTTTGTTCAAATTATATCTACTAAAAATATATAGTTTATTTACACAAAATTTTTTAATAAATTGACATTTTTGAATATTGCCAATCCAGGTATTGAAATTTTAATGCTAACTAATTAGCCTTCTTGCTTTTTAATTTTAATTTGTCAGAATTTATCTTATAGATCTACCAGTGATTTTATTAAAAAGAAAGGCTATTTAATTTTTTATAAAAAACTAATTTTTTTGCTTTAAAATTCACCTTGTTATGATGCCTAAAAAAAAATTTTTTTTGGTACTCCCTCCCTTAAACCATTTAAGAATATTAATACCTAACTTAATGAATGAATTAGTTATATACATTCATTTATAAATTAAACAAACTATCAACTAGCAGATCTTTTTTAACACTCTTTAACTCATTTTTTCATTTTAAACTTTTGTTTTTATTTTTAAAATAAAAACTAATTTCTTAATATTTTATGTTTTTTCTTCATTTTTCCTTATAGCTAACATTTAACACCATAATTTTTGTTTCAATTTTATAAAAGTAGAAATTAAATTGGCCCATAAGGTGCATCAGGCTTAGGTTCAGGTTTAGGAAAGTGCACTAATCTCTCAAAGTTGATACTTCATATTCAGTAAAAACAGTTTATTTATTTTAAATTATTATATTTATAAATATAAATATGAATTTCAAATAATTTATCTAACTCTTTTAATTTTTTTATTTATGAGCTTTTTATTTGATTAATTTTTCTTTTTCATTATTCTGATTGTATTTTTTTTCTTTCTTTCTTTATTTCTTTGATAATTTAACTCAATTTTTTATTTTTCAACTTTTATTTTTACTAATCATTACTTATTTTCTTATTATTTAAAATTTATTATCCTTCTAGCTAACTAACTATGTCTATTTTTTACTTTAATATTTAAAAAGTGGAAATGAAATTGGTGTAGAAGGTGTATTAGGCTTATGTTCTGGTTTAGTAAATTGTAATAATCTCTCCGATTTGACACTTTAACTTTAGTAAAAACAGTTTATTTGTTTTGGATTGTGTTATTGTTTAATATAAAAATGAATTTAAAGCAATTTAACTAACTCTTTTAATTTATTTATTAGCTTTTATTTGATTTTTTAATTCTTCTTGTGTTTTTTTCTTTTTTTATTAGTTTGTTTGCTAATAACTCATTTTTTCATTTATTTTCAAATTTTACTTTTGTTTTAAGTAAATTCATTTCTTATCATTTATTTCATATTTTATCCTTTTATCTAACTAATTAACTCTATATTTTTTCAAAAAAATTTAAAAAGTGAAAATTAAATTACTGAAGAAGGTCTGTCAGACTTAGGTTTTAATTTAGCAAACTGCACTAATCTCTCAAATTTGACGCTTTATCTTCTGTAAGAACAGTTTGTTTATTTGTTTTAGGTTGTGATATTTCTAAATATGAAAATAAATTTAAAATAATTTAACTTACTCTTTTAAAATATTTATTCGCTTTTTTTCTTTTTTTTATTAATACTTGCGTTTTTTTTCTCTTTATTGCTTTGTAAATTAGATTCATTTTTAATTTTGGCTTTATTGTTTTTATGATAAATTCATTTCTTATTATTTTTTATTTTTACTTTATTTTTTCCTACTAATTAGCTTTATATTTTTTTCTTCAATATTTAAATAGTAAAGATGAAATTGGCGATGAAGGTGCATCTAGATTAGGTTTTGGTTTAGGAAAATGCACTAACTTCTCAAATTTGACGCTTTATCTTTAGTAAAAACACTTTTTTGGATTGTGATATATTCGAATATAAAAATGAATTTAACACAATATAACTCATTCATTAGCTCCTTTAAAATTTTTATTAACTTTTTAATTGATTTATTTTTTTTCTTATTTTTTATTCTGCTAGTGTTTTTTTTTATTTCTATGCTTGTATTTATTTCATTTTGTGATTTAAAGCTTTGGCTTTTAATAAAAATTCATTCATTCAATTATTTCTTATTATTTCATGTTTTTTCTTAATTTTTCCTTCTAGCTAACTAATTAAGTCTATTTTATTTCACCAATATTAAAAAAGTAAAAATTAAATTGGAGCATAAGGTATATCAAGCTTAGGTTCTGGTTTAGCAAACTGCACTAATCTCTCCAATTTGACACTTATTCTTAGGTAAAAACAGTTTATCTGTTTTGGATTGAGATATTAATTTAACTTACTAACTCTTTTAAAATTTTTCTTAGCATTTTATTTGATACTTTTTTTATTCTACTTATGTTTATTTTTTTTCTTTGTTAATTAAACTTATTTTTTCATTTTAATATTTTTATTTTATTTTTAATTGATTAATTTCTTAATTTATATTTTTTTTTCATTTATTCTTTTTAACTAGATAACTTATTAACACTATATTTTTTCTTCAAAATTTTTTAGTGAAAATTAAATTGGTGCAGAAGGTGCATCAGGCTTAGGTTCTAGTTTAGGAAAATGCATTAACCTTTCAGATTTGACTCTTGATCTTCAGTAAAAAAAGTTTATTTAATTTGGATTATAATAAATTTATAATATAAATTGAATTTAAAGCAATATGATTAACTAAATTGTTAATTTAACTCATTTTTTCATTTTAACATTTTGCTTTAATTAATTTGTTATTATTTAATATTTTTTATTCATTTTTTTCTTCAAACATACTAATAAACTCTTTTTTTTCTACAAAAATTAAAAAAGAGTTAATTAAATTGCTGATGAAGGTGCATCAGGCTTAGTATCTGGTTTATTAAACTGCACTAATCTCTCAAATTTGAAACTTTATCTTAAGTAAAAACAGTTAATTTATTGTGGGTTGTGATATTTATGAATTATTTAAAACAATATAATTAATTCTTAAAATATAATTTTTAGCTTTCTTTTTATTGATTTATTTTCCTTAATTTTTTATGATATTTGTGTTTTTCTTACTTCAAATTAATTTAACTCATTTTTTAACTTTCAACTTTTGCTTTTATTATTAATAAGTTAATTACTTATTATTTCATATTTTTTCTTCATTTTTTCCTTCTAACTTACTAATAAAGCCTATTTTTTTCTTCTATTTAAAAAAAAAGTAGAAATTAAATCGGCGCTGAAGGTGCATCAGGCTTAGGTTCTGGTTTAAGAAAATGCACAAATCTCTCAAATTTGACACTTTTTCTTAAGTAAAATTAATTTTTTTGCTTTGGGTTGTGATAATTTTAAATATAAAAAATTAATTAAGAACAATATAACTAATTTACTAATTCATTTAATTTATTTATTTGCTTTTTATTTGATTTATTTTTATTTTTTTTATTCTTATTATGGTTTTTATTTCTTCTTTGTTTGTTTGTTTTTTGTATGTATGTATGTATGTATGTATGTATGTATGTATGGCAATAGCAATCCCTCCCTTTTTCAATTTTCAATTTTTCTTTTATTATTAATTATTTAATTCATTTCATTTTTTCTTTTTAAATTACTAATTAACTCTAAAATTTTTTATTAAATATTTAAAAAGTGTGAATTTAATTGGTGAAGAAGGCGCATCAGGCTTAGGTTCTTGTTTTGAAAATTTGATTAATCTTTCAAATTTGTAAATTTATCTTCAGTAAAAAGCAGTTTATTTGTTTTTATTTATGATATTATTATTTATAAAGAAAAAGGAAAAATAAAAAAACTTATACTTTAAATTTACTTATTTGCTTTTTATTTGATTTATTTACATTTTTTATTCAGCTTATTCTTTTCTTTCTTTTTTAATTTGCTTATTTAACTCATTTTTCATTTTTAACTTTTTATTTAATATTTTTTCTTCAATGTTTTAAAAAGAGATAATTAAATTGGTGCTGAAGGTTCATCAGGATTAGTTTCTTGCTTAGAAAAGTGTGTTAATCTCTCAAATTTTACACTTTTACTTCAGTAAACACAATTTTTTTGTTTTCGATTGTGATACTTTTATATAAAAAGGAATTTTAAGCTAATAGCTAACCAACTAATTTATTTTTTTATTTTGCTTGCGTTTTTCTTTCTTAATTTGTAAATTTAATTCATTTTTAGCTTTGGTTTTTACAATTAATTAATTAAATTCATACTTTTTCTTCATTTTTTCCTTCTAACTTATTAATTAAGTCTATATTTTTTGTTCGATATTTAAAAAGTGGAAATTAAATTGGCGATAAAGGTGCATCAGGTATAGGTTTTGGTTTAGGAAAGTGCACTAATCTTTCAAATTTGTTTCTTGGCATACAGTAAAAGCTGTTTAATTGTTTTGGATTGTGATATTTTTTAATATAAAAGTGAATTTAAAATATTATAACTAATTCTTATAATTTATTTAAGTTTTTATTTGATTTATTTTTATTTTTCTTTTTTCTGCTTTTATTTTTTCTTCTTCTTTATTAGTTTGTTAATTTAACTAATTTTTTGATTTAGGTTTGCTTTTATTATTAATTAATTCATTTCTTATTATACCATATTTTTTCTTTATTTTTTCCTTCTAACTAAATAATCAAGCATATATTTTTTCTTCAATATTTAAAAAGTGGCAATTAAATTGGTTTAGAAGGCGTATTAGGCTTATATTAAGGGTTAGGAAAATGCATTAATCTCTTAGATTTGGAACTTTGGTTTGGGTAAAAAAAGCTTACTTGTCTTGTATTATATCATTTTTAATATAAAAATTAATTTGCTATTAGCTTTTGATTGATTTATTTATTTTACTTGTGTTTTTTTTCTTTCTTTCTTTGAAAATTAAACTCATTTATTTTTTAATTTTCAACTATTTGTTTTATTTTAATTAATTATTTTTTTATTATTTCATATTTTTTCCTACTAACTTTTTAATTGACTCTATATTTTTTCTTCAATATTTAAAAAGTAGAAATTAAATTGGTGATGAAGGTACATCATGTTTAAGTTCTGGTTTAATAAACTGCGCTAATCTCACAAAATTTACACTTCATCTACTGTAAAAGTAGTTTATTTATTTTAAATTATGCCATTTTTTAATATAAAAATGTATTTAAAACAATTTAATTAATTTTTTGAACTTTTTATTTGATTAATTTTTCTATTAAATTTTTTTTGATAACTTTTTATTTAAAATTTAATCTTATTTATTTAATTAATATTAAAAGTGACTAACAATTCAATAAATCATAAAAATTGAAACTAAAAAGAAAGTTTATTAAATCAAAAAGATTAGTTGTATTAGAAATAAAATATTAATGAAAAATATAGGTTGGTGAAAAAAGGACAAATAAAAAAAATATTTGAAAATTATTTATAATATGTTTTATTTAATATTATTTTGTATCCACGAAAATAAACTTTATAATAAGTAGATTTATTGTTATATTTATAAATATTGTCAATTCAATAAAATAAGGAGATAATATTGAGGGATTATTTTATACTAAAGATAAATAAAATAATTATTTATTTTTAATAGGTACTTAAATTAATCTATCTATCTATATTTTTCATAATTAATTAAAAATCTTTTGAAAATCAGAAACAACTTAGCAATACGTTCACTAATCTTTTAGCCTTTATTAATTTTTTCATCAAATTTTGATAAATTTCTTCATCGATTTCATTATAACTTTTGATTTTGATAAAAATAATTAATTTATTATTTCGAATTTTTGAAAAGAACAAGTAAAAATCAAGATAATTTAAATAAATTAATAATTTATTTATTTTCAATTTTTCAATAAATTATTTTATTAATTTATTTTAAATATTGATTAAAATCGTTTATTTGACTATTAAAAATAATTTGACATATTTTTACTTCATTTAAAGCATCGCATTTTAGAGATTAGTACATTTTGCTATAGCATTACATAAATTTAATGCACCCTAATCACTAATTTAGTTGCAACTTTGTTATTTAAATAATAAAAATTATATATAACATTTAGAATTATTTAATTAAAACTTTACTCTATCCAAAGTGTCAAATTTTAGAGTTTAACACAATTCAACAAAAACAAACCTATTTTATTTACATCCTCATCAATAATTTGATTATTCCTTTTTATTTTTTTAAAAATAAAATGAATTAATATGCATGAACGCATCATTTTATAAAATAGAAATAGAATCACCTCTATAAAATTAAACTAAAAACTAAAAATCAGTTAGTAAAAAAATAAATTTCACTTTTTTGAAAATTAATTAGTCATATCTTCGATTCATGTTTAATCAAAACTAAAAAAATAATAATTATTACTCAAAGGAAAGAGTTAAATCTGTTAAATTAACACAGTTTGCTAAACCAGAACATAAATCTAATGACCCATTATTGCCAATTTCATTTTCACTTGAAAAATATTTTTAAAGATGATACTTTAATTTATATAAGTAAGGATAACTAAGAAACAGGTTAAAATAAACTTATAATTCTATATAAAAATATTTTTGCATTTACAATAAAAGTAAAAATAAAAGAAAAAATTGTAGTTTTCTTTCTACTGTGTTTATAAAAAGTTTTTTAGTAAATCAAAATAAAAATATAAAAATATTTTATTTAGCATCTTTTACTCAAAATTAAGATTTAAATTTATGAGGCTCAAGCAGTTGGATAAACCAGAGCTTAAGTCTGATACTCCTAGATCTCCAATCTCGTTTCTACTTTTAAAATTTAAAACATTATTTTTTGGTTCTAAAAAATTATTATTTTTAGATTTTTATTTGAATTGTAAGTATACTAAGAAGGAAATAGAAATTGTATGTTAATAATTAACAAATTTCATAAATTTAATAAGTAAATAAATAAATAGAAGGATATGTTAATCAACAGAATTTTTTTACCATAGCATAATTGTTAAATTTTAAAGTTTACAGCAATTTGATAAAGCTTAACCTAATTCCTTAGCATTCTCACCTTTAATTTAATTTGACCTTTTAATTTAAATTACGAATAATCAATTTATTATTAAAATTAATAAAGGTTTATTTTAAAAAATGTAAGCTATTCAAATTAAAAAAAAGTATTTTTTATCCTATTTTAATCAATTAAATTTATAAAAATAAATATACAAATAAGGTAAAACTTTTTACATAAAGGTTATTGTTAAATCTGAGAGACTTTTAAAATTTGATATAGCTGAACATAAAGTTAATGCACCTTAGTCTTTAATTAAATTGTGACTTATTTTAGTTATAATATTATAAATTATTTTAAAGCAAAAATAGAACAATAAATAAATTTATAAGTTTTAAAATTAAAGTTTTTGTAATAATAAAATAAATAAATGAAAAAGTAATACTCAAGATAAATATCCAAAGATGATAGTGAAAGGCATTTTGCAAAGTTTTAAGCAAAACCAATTATATCTTCGTCATTAATTTTGCTAAAACTTTAATTTGAGATAAAAAATTATTATTATAAGAGAAATTTTTAGACAAAATAGAAATATAAAATTTTATTATAAATTCTTTCTTAGGATTTTTATTTTATAATTTTAGATGTTCTTTCAAAGCAAATAATAATAATTTTTAAACATTAAAATTTATATTTACAAGAGTTTCAGTTTCAAGCTAGAGAGATTCTTGCAATTTGATAGAGCTGAACCCAAGTATGAAATGCCTTCTATTCCAATATTATTTGATCTTTAAAAATATTATACATTATTTAGTAACTAAATATAAATGAAAATCTTAAATTTTATTAATAAATTATAGAGAAAATATTTTATTGATCAATCAATCATTTTAATTATTAAAAATAAATAACAAACTATTTTTACGAAAGATTTAAATCCAAATATGAGAACTTGATATCAGAGGTAAAACGATTAGCTAAGGCTATTATCCCATCTTTTCCTATTGAGTTTTACCTTGAATTGGTAAAAAATTATTCAGTTTTTAAAAATACAATTAATAAAAAAGATAGAATAAGTAATTTAATAAAATAAATAAGACAAAGATTTTATGTCTTAATTTTTAACAGCAAAATAAATAAATAAATAAATAAATAAATAAATAAACTAATTAGAATAAAATTAATCAAGTTAAAAATATTATGAATTTACTCAAGGTCAAAAATGAAAGATTGTAGCTTATCACAACTTTCTAAAAGAGTATCTAAACCTTATAAATCAAAATCTCCAAGTTAATTTTTGCTTTTAAAGTTAATTTGATTGAAATTAATTACAATTTTTTAATTTAAGATATGAAAAATAATGATAAAATAAATGAAGTTAAATAAATAAATTTGAATGAAATATAAAATTTTACCAAATAAAATTTTAATTTATTTCATGTTTTTTGAATTCAAAAAAATTAATTAATATTGTCATACCCTAACTCTAAAGTCAAACGCTTGAGATTATTGCATTTCGACAAAGTAGAGCATAAATCTGAAACATTCTATGAATTTATTTTATTTTGACTATTTTATTTATTTTTAAGTTATTCTTTTAATGAAATAATTAAATTAAAAATTAATGTTAAATGAATAAAAAAATTTTAATTTAAAAGTAATAAAATTGTAAAAGTTAAAAAATGTTTATTTCTAACTTAACTAATTTTTTTATTTTTAATAATTAATTGGAAATATAATTCATAAAAATATATAGAAAAATATTAAATAAAAATTCTTGGTAAAAAAGGAATAAAAACAATAAAAAATGATTTTTACTTTAATCCAAGTTTTAAATATTAAATATTTGTGAGTTTAGATAAACCTTAACCTAAACAAAACAATCCTCTTTCTCCACCAATCTTATTATTTCTATTTTTTATTTTCAAATAAAACTTAAAAAGTAGAATTTTAATAGGCAAAAAAAGTAAAATAAATTAGTTATCTAAAATTTAAAATTTTTTAAAATCTATTTTTAATGAAAATAAAATAAATGGTTAAAAATAAATATTAGGAAATAAAAAGAATTAATTATTCAAATGTAAATGAATAAATATTACGAAAGGCCTAATATAATTGTTGAAAGATTACTACAACTTACTAAAGCTGTACCTAATCCCTTTACACCTTCTTCACCTATTTAATTGTCTCTATAATTTTATGAAAATAATTAATGGTTTAAAGAAAACAAAAAAGTTTATAGATAGATAGATAGATAGATAGATAGATAGGATTGTAATAGAAATCAAATTCTTTAATTAATTTTTAAAATTAATAAAATAATAAAAATTTTAGTTTATTGCTTTCATAAAAAAATTTTTGCAATAAAATAAAAGTAGAAAAATAGATTTATTTACTAAATGTGTAGTTCTAAATGTGTGAGAAGAACACATTTTTTGAAAGCTTCACATAAATCAATTACTCCGACATATTCAATTAAATTCTTCCTATTTATTTTATATTAGAAAAAATAAATAACTTTACTTTAAAAGAAAAAATGAATAAAATAATATAAATTTATCTATAAAAAAACATATAAATTAAACAAACAAGATATATATCAAATAATATATATCATTTAATAATATTATTAATTTATTTAAATATTTATTTATGGTTTATGATTAAAATCTTTTTGAATATCAAAAAGTTTGAAATTAAATTAATATGATCAATCAATCTACCATAAATATAGTTTCAAAGTTGAGAGTTAAGTACAGTTTGCTAGGGAATAGCCTAAATTTTATGCTCCAAGAGACTTAATTTCATTATTACTTTTATTAATTTTAAGAATTAGTTTAAATATTAAAATTAATATTTTATCTAATTAAAGTAAATTAAATAATTTAAAATTATAAAATCAAGGATAAATAAATAAATTGACTGATTATTTATCACAATAAAAATAAATTAATCTTATCAGTTAATGAATGACAAGTGATTATGTTAAAATATATTATATAATTGCATTCAAAAAATAAATCAAATATTTATACCAAATTCTTAGTTCTAAAGTAGAAAGATGAATTTATTTAGCTAGAGCAGAACCTATACTTTATATATCCGTTGGTCTAAAAGAATTACCACTTTTATTTATATTAAGATTAAAAAATTTTGTTTGATTTTAAAATGAAAACAAAAATAAATAAAAATAAAGATTTTATTTTTTACTCCAGGTTTAATTCTAAAGTAGTAAGATTTGTGCATTTTGATAGTGCAGAACTCAGAGTTTATGAATGTTTCTAATCCAAATACGAATATCTTTAAATTTTTAAATAAATATCAAATAAAAAATTTACAATAAATTAATCCTTTCAATTTAAAATATTTTAACATCAGTAAAAATTAAACTAATAAAGTTATTTTTCACAAATTTATTTTGCATTACCCTAATAAAGTACTGAGATAAACTTCAGATGATAGATTAGGATAGTCTGATAGCTTTTATTTCAAAATATATTAATTTTAAATAGTTAGTTATTAAGTAAGAAGTCTATTACTGATTATAAATTATTAAATTATTTTTTTTTCTAAAGCATTTTTTTTCTTTCCAAATTCAATTTTCCAATTACTTTTTAGGGATTAATAAAGAAAAAAACTAAATATTAATTAATATTCACTTTTCTAAATTAATCATATTTTAACAAAAAACATATTAAAATACAATTTTAATATCTAGCTTAAAATTTTATATAAATATAATAAATGATTTAATTTGTTAATAATCAATTGAAATAGTTATTTAAAAAGATGCTTATTACTTATTGATTATAAAATACTAAATTATTTTTTCTTCTAAGTCGTTTTCTTTATTAAGAAGAATTCTACTTTAATATTCTTTTTACAAATAAATAAAGAAAAAATAATATATTCTCAAATCTTAATTTATTTTACTTGTAACTAATAACAAAAAATATACAAAAATACAAATTAAAATATCTAGCTTTAAATTTAACAAAAATCAAAATAGTTGACATTTGTTTTTGAATTAAAATAAAATTATCAAATTAATTAAATAAATAAATAAATAAATATGTATGCTGTTTTCTATATTATAAATATCTGTTGTTGATCATTCATTATAAATAAATAAATAATTATTTTTTATCTACTTTAATTAACATTTTTTTTAATTATTGGAGATTCATAAGGATTTTTTTCTTTTTTAATTAAAAATCTTTACAAAAAAATTTTTGATATAAATCTAATTTTCTAAAAAATATAAACCCACCTACCTATCCTACTAACCATTTGTTTATATCAATGTATTTTAAACAAAAATATTTTTTAATTTTAAAAATAAACCAAGAAATATAAATATAATAAAAAGCTAATTAATACTCATTCAAATTAAATTTTTAATTAATTAATTTCTAAAATACATAGAATCGAATACTCTTTGAACTCACTTATTTATAAAAATGATATTTTGTTATAAGAAATATAAACAAATAACATGATAAAAATCATGTTTAAGGTATTTAATGGCTTAAGCTTCAAAGTAGTTGTAGATAAGTAATTGTTATATTCAGTAAAAAATATATGACCTTTTAAATTAGACATTTTTTATAAACCAATCAACATGATTAAAGAATTTAAGTAGTTAAGTGAATAAGTAAAATGAAGGAAGATATTGTAAATATATCTCATCAATAATATCAACAAGCTATGCTAATTAATTAATATGCATTTGAGTAAATAGTGATAAGTATATATTTTTGAATGATTAATTAATTAATTATGAAGTAGTCTATCTTTATTAATTTCGATTTTGTTTCTTTCATGTTTTATTTTTTGAAATATTGATTTGCTTTCATTATGAAGATGTTGTTGAAGATTCAGAGGAGCCAAAATATTTGTTCTTTAATTTTTAGAAGAGTAAAGAGCCCCACCATTCATCTTTCCAGGCAGCTTGTTCACCTATTTCTCCATCTTCATCATAAAACTCTCTCCACCACCATTCAGGATGTCTAGAAATGTCTCTTCTTAATCTATCTGCTTCAATTTCAGTCTCTCTCTAAAAACATTCATTCATTTTTTCATACTCTTCAATACATTCAAAAACTGTCCAATATTTTCCATTTTATTATTCACATTTTATGAATTCCATAGCTTTCTTTCTACATCTTCTACGCGCTAATGGCATTGCTTCATCTTTAATTTCATCTTCTCTTTTTCCTCTTAAAATATTTAGCTTCCATGTTGTAGGCTTTGGAGATCTTGTCTTTGGTTTTATATCTGCAGGTGACTCGTCTAAATGTTGCTCGTCAAACACATTATGCTAAATCTGCTTTGATTTATATGTTCCCATTATTATGTACTCTTGCTACTAATAATAATAATAAACTAATCTTATTTTTTTGATATAATATTAATGATAAAGAGTTTATCAATAAGATATCTAAAAGAAATTTCTATTAATTATTATTAATAAAAAGCATCAGATCTACTTAGCAAATAAAACTCATTCAATCTTTTTTAAAAAAATCAATCAGATAAATTTTATTAGTTATTTAGTTAGTGTTAAACATTTTAGAGTTAGCGGAATTATGAGCAATAATTAGGAAGATTATGACCAGCTAGAAGATCCTTATGCCATTTTGAATGTACCAATAGATGCAGATTAAAAGCAAATAAAAGAGAAGTATTACGAATATTCAAGAGTATTTCATCCAGATAAGTAGCAACCCCATCTTTATTTAGAATCTAGATCATAATTTGAGCAAATAGATAAAGCTTATAAAGCAATTTCTAATCCTTTTTTAAAGCTTATATATGATAATTATGGCTATCCAGGTAAATTCAAATAAAATCTAATTAGAATTTACTGTTTTAATCATTTTGAATTCTTAACAAAAAAAGGAGTCGTTATCTGTAACGAGCATTCTAATAAATTCATTGACTTAGAAGAATAGTACGTTTAAACATACGAGCAGAGATTAAACCATAAGCACGAATACAAGCTAAGATTGCAAGAATTAAAAAAAGTATTGAACAAAATAATCAATCAAAACATTTTATTTTTGTTACTTTTATGAGTGAAGAATATCATTAAGCAAATTTAGTTAAGTTAGAATTTTAAGAAAGCAAAAAAAAAAATTGTTCTTATTGAAAATAAGAAATGCAATTTAAATTGGAAAATTAATGAAAATAATCGCTGTATGATTGACAATAAAGAGAATAAATAAATGGTTTATTGATTTAAAGCAATATCTTTATTTGGATAATATAATAAATGCATCATTTAATAATTTAAGAATAATCTTTTTGAAATAAAGAGAGTATAAATTTCCAATTTTAGAATAGTAAATTAGGACAATATGTTAGAATAAAATTTTAATTAAAAAAAGTTAGATAGATTTTTACTTTAGGCCTTTTCTTTATCAAGTAAACTAGTAAAAAATAATCTTATATTAACCAACATAATCCAAATAGTTTCTCTCATAATAGATTTATTTATTTTCATATTTAATGGAATATTTAAACTCATATTCTGTCTAGAAAATTATTGTTATAGCAGTTAAAAAATATAAATTAATTAGCATAGATAACATAAAAATACCTAAAAAATAAGAATCGTTTTTAAATTATAAATTAAATTAACTTTTGTTTGTGGTTTCTATTTTTTTTTAATGAAAATTTGATTTATTTAGGAAATTTTACAGAGAATGAACCATTTATATGATTTGTATAGAGAAGAGAGAAGCTACATAAATTGCTATAGAAATATTTAAATTAATGCAGATTTTAGTGCTATTTAATTTATACAAAATGCTCATCCTAATAATCCAAACTAATCTAAACAGCTAATTCTAACGAGACTGAGTTTCATTCCTATGCTTTACCTTCCAGAAATTAAAAAATATCAAATTTAGCAAGAATTAGGTTTTTCTGCAAGTGCAGCTGGTATTTTTGGGTAGTAACAAGATTTTAATGGTGGCTTTTTGTATAAACTTTCTAAAAAATTACCTTAAGAAATGAAATATTTAGGAGGAAGTGACATAAGAGTAAAATTTATCAGCAGTCTTTAATTAAAATATAACTTATTATTTTTAAAATCAGGGCAGCTTTTTCCACTCTTATAAATCTACTGAAGGATCTCTTGAATTAGCTACAACTCCATATAAAGATTTGTAATAAATCTTTTACAATAATTAATTTTTATTTATTTATTTATTTATTTAAAATTGAAATAGGAATATAACTTTTAGTGGAAGAGTTGGTTAATTTGGATTTCTTCCTATAATTACTTTCAACAGAAGCATCAGTAATACTTTTTCAGTTAACTCTTAAATCAGTGCTCATGGAGGATAAATTAATGATTTAAATTATGGTTTTGTTAAGGTGTTCTCTAATCCGAGAATCAGACTTGATTTTGATGGAAATATAAATGAAAATGAAGCTAATACAGAGGTTTTGTTGAGTAGAGACATAACTAAAAAATTCTCAATTCTTGGAGTAAAAGATTTAATTTTTTATCTGAATTGTTAGCTAAAATATATATATTTGTTTATGTTATTACTTTTAAATAGGGATTCGTCTAGAAAGGTGAAAAAAAACCATAATACTGGAAATTGAAATTGTATGCTTGCATTGGCTGGAAAATGGCATTTAACTCTCATAACTTTTTAGAAGTTAGATCCTGTTTTGGCATGGGTAACAACGAAGTTTAAATTAGGTAAATAAATATATAAATGTTGAATTAATTATTTCTTAACATTAGATAAAGAATTGCCATAAACATAAAATATTAAAATAAATAGATTTAAAAGAAACGGACTCATATGTTCTCTTCCTATTTCTCTTGGAGCTTATCCAACTATTAAAGCTGTTTCATATTCTATTTTATCATGCTTGTTAAGTGGCTATGGTATTTATCGCTACTAATTATTGAAGAAGAATTCAAAGAAAAATTAGATGATCTTAATTAAAAAGAATAAAAATAGATTGGTTGATGAAAAAAAAATATTTAGTTCATATTATAGCGATCTTGTCATGAAAAATGAAGAAAAATTAAATTTAGAAATTTCAAATGAGTAAATAATTTGTTTAAACAATTAAGTAAATAATAAAATTTATTATAAAATATGATAGTGGTCTTGTTATTCTAAAGGCTTATGGTGGTGAAAAAAGAAAGATCGAAAATATTAAGAAAATATTTTAAAATAAAGAAAATAAATTGCCATATCTTGTTAATGAAGATATAATGAAAAACGCAATAAATAGATAAATAGATGTTGGCTTAGATCTTGAAGATATTCTTTGTGAAGTAGTAGAAATGACTCCTTACATTTAAAATTTAGTTAGTCATTCTTACATAGATTTAACATATACAGAAATTGCAAACTAGTAAGGATTGTTTAATCCATGCATTGAAGTTACTACTCCTACTGCTATGTATATTCAGTAATTCCTTATTTTTTATGATTTCCCATTCATTTATCTTCTTTAATTTATTAAAATTAGATACTCTTATAAAGGTATAGTTAATGATATAATTATTTCCTCTGGTAGTAGACTTAGAATAGGAAATATAAATAATAGCTCACTTTTCCATAAATTTATGGCTCACTACATTCTAAATTCTATCTGATTAAATGCTAATAAATTAGTTTTTTTATATTCAATGTATAATAAATTATTTATAAAAACTGTTTTCCTATATTTATTAGCTTTTTTTACTCTAAAAATAAATAATACATTAAATATATATAGCTCTTCCATGAATTAAATTCTTGCAAACAAAAGAATTAAATTCATGAATAACTTTAAATAAAATAGATATAAATTATAAATAAAAATATATTAAATTTAGGCTTTTAAGCCTTTTTTTATTTTTTTAAAATAATATTTATAATTTAAATTGCCTTAAAAAAAACAAACAAACAATTAATTTAAAAATAAATTTTTAATATAATTATAGATTTCACAATTTATTTTTTTTAAAATTAATTAATATTTGATAATTAATTATTATATTTTATTTGCTCTTTTTATCCATTTATAATTAATTAAATTATATAAATTGCTCTTCAATATATTTGAAAATAAAAATAAATGATATAATAGACTAAAAAATATAAATAATTAGAAGAAGTAATTATTTATTAATTTATTAATATCCTTTAAATTTATAAATATTAATAAAAAAAGTTTTTAAGTTCTTCACTTTTATCTCATTAGGTTCTCCATATTGATCTGATGTATGTTTAAAATTTAACAACTCATCATTTTATTTTCAAATTTTGCTTTTATTATTAATTAATTAATCTTATTATTTCAAATTTTTTCTTCATTTTTTCCTTCTAATTAACTATTTAATTATTTATTTTTTCTTCAATATTTAAAAAGGAACAATTAAATTGGTGATGAAGGTGCATCAATCTTAAGTTCTGCGTTAGCAAATTGCATTAAACTCTCAAATTTGTAACTTTACCTTGG